GGGAGCTGTAAGCACAAGAACTGATGGAAGAATTATTGCCTAATTTTGTATGAAATGCTCCGCGGCAGCTAGCTGTCCATCAGTTCAATCAATCAAAAAGTCTGGAAGGATTAAAAGTTTTGTGTTGTCGCTGACCTGTGGGGCTGTACACCTCCACTGATTTTTTTTTTCCAGCCCAGTTTTCCATTTGAAAGCAACTACAGTTTTGCATATAATCGTCTAAAAATTTCTATATTTGTTTTTTTGTTTTATTATTTATGAATTTAACCTGGATTAGTTCTTCGTCAAAGGGAAAACCAGTGTGTGAATAAATAAGACAAATCGTCTTCTCAAGGACAGTCACTGGATGATGTTGTGCATTTGCTTTTCTTTCTTGGTGCTCTTCTGTGGACCAGTGGAACATTGCAGACTGCAGATGTTCAGACCTTGAAAATTGTGCTTTTGAATTGACTTCATCAGACATCAGACATGTAGCCATTTTGGCTGTTTGCCTCCCTAACAAATCACCTGGGCTCTTCAGTGCTATTCTCAGTTTTAAGAATTGAACCTTAAACCTTGTATTTCAATGGGAACATGACAGTGTAATACACAGTTGAAGTTGCTGATCTGAGGGGAAAAAAAGGAGCTGAGCCAAGAAGGAAAAGGTGTTGGAAAGAAGAAGCACAATTTAGTCTGGTTTGCATGTGGCACTGGCCGACGTGAGGGAGAGAGAGAGAGAGAGAGGGAGTATGGGTATAAATAGCTGTTACATAACATCCCTTTGTTGATGCCAAGTGGCAGAACGGAAGGAGAGAAGGGAAAGCGCTGTGACCTTGTTTTTCACCGTCGTCCGCCCCCACCTCATCCCGTCTCATTCCACTCAGGGCTCGTCTCCATGGTTACAGACAGAATGTGTGTTTACTCAAAACTACAGGGAGTCTGCGAGATGCTTCTTCCTTTCCATTTTGCCACTTTCCTCCTCCTCCTCCTCCTCCTCCTCTCTTGACATCCCTCCCTCCTCTCCCCCTACCTC